TGGTAAAGTCAAAGGAGCCGAACACGAACAAATTTTTAAGCTAAAATTGTAAACGAGCCGAACACGACCAACAGTTTGTTCGCGCGTGTTCGGCTCGAAATGGTTCGATAAAAAATATATATATATAATTTTTTATATAACAATATATTACATATATTATTTATATAATAATATATTATATATATTTATGTCTAAATTTAAATCATAATGCCTCATGTAGCAATGTGGTTAGTGTCGTCTTTTGTATAGATTTGATCCAGGTTCGAATCCCACACATTACATCTATTTTTCTCAATTTTAGATTAACAAGCCAATTTCGAGCCGAACACGAGCCGAACACAAACACAAATATTTAAATCGAGCCGAACACGAACACACTGTTCACGAGCCGATTTCGAACACGAGCCGATTTCGAACACGAGCTATTTCGAACGAGCCGAACACGAGCCAAGCCTGAGCTCGCTCAAGCTCGGCTCGTTTACCGCCCTACTCCCAAAACAATTAAATAAAGAAGAAAAATTGATTTTCATATGGCACATTCCATTGATCACATTTCCCAAAAAACAAAGTAAAAAATGTTGTGTGCCAAGATAAGCATGATCAAGTGAGATTAAGAGATTTCACTATCACCAGCTCTTCTTAGAATTAATATTAATTTTTGAAAAGAATATACCTAATACTCACTTCAACACAAGGAAAAAGAGAAAAAAAGAAGCATTACTAAAAGAGTGGAAGTCATAATTGTAGCTGTTGAACTTTATAATAAAGTGCAGTCAAGAAGCAAAGTAAATATTATAATTTGACGAAACTTCTCTATGTTTTCTATAAATTATTTTGAGATTTAATGTCTCTATAATCGTTGTTTGTAACTTACCACACAAAAATGTATTTTCTTATAAAATAACTAACACTGTTTGAAAGTGTTACTTAACTAGCACACATAATTATATTTCAGTTGAAAAAGAAATAAACAAATCTCTTAACATCAAGTGAAGAAAAATAATACATTAGAAACTAAAATTACGGAAGGCACGACTAAATATCAAGTAACAATAAGAATACTTATATTTTTAAAGTGAGCAATAGCATGAAAAGTAATGCTTTAATGAGCCTATTTCAATCTTTATGCAGTGATGAATTCTATTTTTCATATGGATGAAATTTTGTAGAGAATATCTTATATTTTAAAGATACCTCAAATTTTGTTATTTATTTTGAGGTTAATGCAATTGATTGTGCATTTGATATAATTATCATCATAAAGCAATAAAGTTTCTTTAAGTTTCTTAAACTAAATATTAATTATAATATCTTTATTCAAATTTATTCTTATACAATTAGATTCAATATAATTTCGAAGGTTAATTTTCGGGTTTACCTAATGTATAGCACTCTCACTCCTATTTTTTAATGTGACATCGAAGGAGTATGTACATGTTAACTCTACATGAGTGAGAAAACATCAATTACATGCCACATTTGGAGAAATAAGAGAAAAGAAAACCCTTCAAATTTTTTATTTAGGGCATATCTCAACTTTTAGCAACATGAACAATTTAACAAAGCTTATTCTATGTTTTTTTTTTTCAATTACTCAGTTTCCTAAGTGATAAATAACTCTTAATCATCATTATCTTAATTAAAAGATTTATATTTATGTGGAGTTTGGCTGCAACCAGGATTTAAGTTAAACAATATTTATTAAATCCATTCAATCCGATAAATTCAGATTTATCAAATCCAGTGTGCAACAGAGATGGAGCTCGTGAGCGACGATAGAATAAATCCACCTCGTATTCGTCGTAAAAGAAGCGGAACGCAAGGAAAAAAAATGTGACTTCGATTTAACAAAGCAATGTATTTAATTTTGATTTTTTGATATTGGCTGAATTTAAATTAAATTCATAACTAAATCTTATTATGAATAATATGCTATTAAAATCACCTTAATTTTATCAATTTCTTTATTTCCTCCACATGAAAACAAATCATTGCTAATTTCGATACTACAAAACTTATCATCTCAAAGCTCGCAAAATGAGAATTATATATCATAAATGAATGAGAAAACTAATCCAATATGATTATAGGTCCACAAAACGGCTTCCTACTGGTACTGATGACATTACATGACTCTAATATTTCAGATGATTTTAGTAACCCTGACACCTAACATGAATAAATCAGGCTACTACTATCCTCTAAAATGCATCAAACAAGAACATGATTAAGCCTTATTCGATGGTTACATAGCTAAACATAATTAGTTTCCTAAAAAATAATTAAGGCCTTGGGGCAAGTACTTGAAAGATCTCACTCCAATGCCTAGTTGATTGACATGGTGAGATCTAAAGTACTTATCCTTAGGCTGGATTTATTACTGCTACTCAGCTTGAAGAAATCAATCTCGGAGTTCATTATTTTGTCTTGCATTTTGAAGATCTTGTCATTTTCAGTTGAAATATATGGGGAAAGAGAAAGTGAGAGCTCACTGTCTACACCTGCTTCAGAGCTTCTTTTGGCCTCAAATCCATTTTCCACGGAGCTTGTGCTCAAGCTTAGCTGCAAATCTGGCATATTCTCATTTTCGTCCATGGTCAGCCGCAATCTCTTGTTATCTCTGGCACACTCCTTCCGCTCTAGAAATTCTAGCTTTGTCAACTGTTGTAGCAAAAAAAAGTTAGAATTAATTATAATATCATGTATTATTATAATGCATCTATAAACATGTGGACAGTGCCTTTTGTTAAAATGGTGCAATAATAGATTAAATTTTAATCCAGATTTCTCTAAAATGCCAGCAGTTACTTTCGTGAAATTCGAGATTGAAATTTTTAGTTCATCGATAATAATTTTTTTATCAAAAAATGTCTATTTGCTACATATATTTAGACGCACAAATATATATATATATATATATATATCAAAGGAATGGCCGGAGGCTATTATACGAGCCTTGATCATCCCTCAGGCGGCAAAGAATTCAAGTACCACACCTTATACTGGGGGGAATCGAACCCCAGACTAGAAGTGATACACAACTGACAAACAGATGTCCGATCAAATGATTTGAGTATGCTATATATATATATATATATATATTCAAAATTTCCTTTTACAAGCATTATTCAAAATAAAATGCAAGTTAAACTTGTATTTTCTTTATCATTTAAAAGATCTAACATAACAACTTATATATATACAAATAATTTAATTACAAATAGTCCACTTAAAGTAAATATGAATATTTTCAATTTATGACTAAAAATCATTACCAAAGCGTTCAACGTTATTGTGCTATTCTTTGAAGAATTAAGAATATAAATTGCTTCTATAACAAATGCTTTATTTACAAGTTATCTATCTAAACTTACATTTACTCGCAACGAAACTTATAACCTTGAGGCACGAAAATTAAAAAAAATTGTCGCAACAGCTGAACAAAAATGTTTCTTAAAAAATCATTTTTTTGACATAATTTGAAAAAAATAAGACTACTATTCAATATTTTAGTCATACTATTTAAAAAAAATGTTATTTCAACAAATAAAACTTAGTGATGCATGCTTCAAATGATGCCCATAGAAAATTATCAGCTCAACATACCTCAGCTTGATGAATTGGAGACTGAATCTTCTGAGTCTCATATCCAGATTTAATGGAAGAAGGATCACGAAGGGAAGACTGGTTAATGCTGCAGTTAATTACTCTCTTCCCAAAACTTGAGTTACTAATGGATGAATTAATGGAATGCTCAAAAACTGTACTCCTTCCCAGTTGCCATTGTCTCTCCTCTTGGAGCTTCTGAGGCTTCCTTGATATCTCATTAGCTGAGAACACATCCCTCACATCATATAGATGAGATGTTGATGGCTTCCCTTCTTTATTAAATTTCATGTCATTTATTAATCCGTTGGTATGGCCCTGCTGGTCCTTGATTGAATTACTTTTTGCTGCCATGTGCTGGTTGAAAACCCATTCATGGTTTCTGTTGAAGAAGCCAATGATTAATCAGTTTACTTTCAGAGCTAATTTCTCTCTGGTGCCATTTTCTTCTTTTCTTGTACATTATAAAATAGTTAATAAAAGCATGTTAAAATTTGGAAGGCTAAAGTGAATAGGAAGATTAACTTGAGAAAAAGAAATGATTTAGTGGTATTAAAATGAAAGAAATTTGAATCGAGAAATCTCAATCTACTTGAAAGTCAAGGATGTGTTTGTCATACGACATTGATAAGGACAAAATTATAATCATATTAATTAATTTGATTAGAAAATTCGCCCACCACTGTTTTCATCATGCATACCAATGCTCTCTGAGAAATGACAACTTTTGAGAAATGGTTAAGTGTACCATTCATTTAACATAAAATACCGAAAGAGATATTTTATTAAATAGTTTGGCATGTGCAAAATGAAGGACAAAATGTAAATATTTAAACAAAAGCAGAAAACTTGCTAACAATTATTATATAAAAATTTATGAATAATGCAACAGGTTCATGCAAAAATAAACAAGGACTAGAGAAATAAAACTTATAAATTCGATTCAAATAGTTCAATTAATGCCAATGATGATAAAAACAGAATTTATCTTGCATTACTTCTTAAGATAGAAATATTTTATAAAATCCCGATGAATTTATAAAATACAGAATACATTTATGGAGCAACTCATTAAAGAATTTGGTTGCATATAGTACCTGAAGCTGGTGTTCTTGAAATCTGATAAGGGAGTTTGGGACTGTGATTTCTGCAAAACCTTATAAAACCAGTCAGCCTCATGAATGTTTCCAGATCGAAAGAGGCTCCCTCTCTCCATTTTGAAGGGCTGGTATGAACCAGGTCTTTGATAATACATCTCATGGAAACGATCCCTCCTCAGATGTGCATGAAATGGTGATAATGCTGTATGAAGATTAATTACAGAAAATTAATTAGAATGCAAGAATTTGATCTTGAGGTGTTGATTAAATATTTCATTTTATAGTTTCTCAACTAAGACTTTGTACTCTATGTTAACTAATTTTGCTCTGAAATTTCAAATACCTGTAGAAATGTTGGATCTTTCTTGCCCGGAATCATCAAGTTTCTTGCTTCTATACATCTATAAATGGATGAAAATGGCTATTAGGGAGTAGATAAAACAGGGAGATAAGTTTTTGATCAGTGAAAAAGCAGAAAATATTGGGAGAAAATTTTGGCAGAATATCTATCTCAAAATGGATTTTAGGGCACAAAACATATTTCTTTGAAATTACCAGAATGTTCACAAAAATTTTGAAAATATATTTCATACTTAAAGAAAAATTAACAAATAGTCAGAACTTAAGAAATTGAGAGGATGTATTTTACAACCTGAGATTTCTACCTTTTTGAATATTTTAGCTAATTTAATCGAAAATTTTTTAAAAATTAAAAACAAGTGAGTTTGAATTCTTGTCTCTATGGTGGGAGCGAAACCCCTCAACCACGGTGTTGAGCTGAATATAATTATACAAACATCCCAAGCTAAAATTTGCTGTAATTCATCTCTTAAAATCATTTGCATATCAAAAAAGTTATCTTTTTTAATTATCCTCTTGAATCTCATTACCTGAATAAAAAAAAATAAAAAATAAAAAAAAAAATAGTTCCATTAATTTTTTCTTTTGCAAATCCTCTACTTTCTTACCTGCAAGTGACTCTTTACATGTGCAATACTAAGCCCCCTCACATTCATCATCTGAAGCACCAACTTTGGCGTTGCTCCTTCATCAACAATATAATCAGGAACAAAGAAAAGCTAATGATAAACCAAAACTAAAACAACAATAAAAACAAAAACTACTAAAGATGAAATTAAAAGTAAGAAAAAAAAACAGGGTGAATTGAATTACTCTCTTGTCCTCCAAGCCTTTCAACTGCATGAACAAAGGACAAGTGAAGCTCTGGTGTCCACCTCAATCTCGGCATTTTGGATCTCACATATTGCCTGACAGTAGACCCCGATCTCTCCCCTCTCCTCCCTCCATCACCTTCACCGTCCTCGCTACTTCCATGCTCGCTGCAATACACTTCCCTGCCTCCCATAACTTCACTTGTGCTCCCCTTATCTTCATCCTCTTTGCTTCCTTTCTCATCATCAACTTCTTCGTTGAGGTCTAATGACTTAGCCGGCCGCCTATGCTTCGCAGTTTCCTCATAAATCTCCACCACCTCCTTCCCCTTCTCCTCATCCATCTCCTTCTTTTACTCAGCTGCCTAGAGGTTGGAAGACTAAGTTGAAGGAGGTGATAGAAAAGAGCAATAGTCTAAGCATATTGCAATTGGTGACATGAATGGTTGAACCGTGGAAGTAGAAGTATAGATAATAATATAGATAGAAGTAGGTGATATATTTTATTAATCATGAAGGCCATATGAATTACAAGTATTCCCTACATTGATTAGTTTTGTTTTCTAGGTCTTCCAAGTCTTTCTCTTCCCTATAGAGGAAAAATCTAATTTTTTTTTAAAAAAATGTAATCTTGGGGAGGAAACAGATGAAGAGAGTGGGTCTCAATAGAAGACTTTGTCGTGTGAGAGGAGAGATATAAAGGTTGACACTTGCCTCTTTGTATGACTTGATTTTGTTAGCTGAATAATTCAAAGAGAGATATTTCGATCTTAATAATAGTCTTAGATCAAAGTTTCCTATACTTAATCATGAATTTTTTCATAATGAGCCATACAGCTTTTTCCTAGCAGTTATTTGGATCATACACTCTGAGTCCACGTGATGCTTACAAAGGGGCGAATATTAATCCATAATTAAATTATAATATATCTTGTATTGGGAATTTATAAGAAAATAATGCATCCATATCATTTTAAATTCAATGTTTAATTATACGTTTAAGATCAATGAAGCCTTTACGTGCATGTTATAGATTGAGGCTTCCTTTATTATGCCACAAAAGGCAGATCCATCAATGAAAAAACAAGAAAAAGAAAAAAACATCTATTATTTGTAGCTTTATTTCAACTAATGCACATATTTAAATACGTAATATTCACTAATTATTTTAATTTTTGTATTATAAAAAAACTTATAATACTAAGGAGAGGACCCCGCTTTATCATGAACGAAATTTGATGCAGATTGTGGCCTGAAAATACTTTTTGATATCCTCATACAATTCTGTAAGGAAATTACTCACATAATTTCTGTCCCTTTCAAAGCATTATAGAATTCATTTAAAAAATCATTTCAATGCATGCCAAGCTGCTATTGGGTAGCCACAAAAATTTGCTGCAGAGCCCTATTATATATATTTTTCTTACTTTGTCAATTGATTTTTTATAATTAATTAATTATTATTATTATTTTTTTCTTTGTAAATTCATTGAACTCCACTCCTTTTCATTAATAACGTCAACTTGCTCAAGTTTTTGTTCTTAATTTTTTTTTTTAGCAAAAGTAAATGAGTGCATGTCACAAATACACGTGGCAAGCATTTAGATGAATTGTCATTTTGGTCTGAATGTTTTCTTTCTTCCAATAATAGGTAGTGCCCGAGTGTTCCTTTGTGATCAGTTTTGTGGTCAGCCTTCTCAAGTCCAGCAACAAAAGTCTATTTTGGTTTATAATTAATATTGCAATCTCATATGATATCATGCGCTTGATCTGTAATATACTGAATATAATTATGCTTTTGCCTCGTTTTTCCTCTCACCCCTTTCTTCATCATGTATTGGTCGGCGATGATGGCCTTCGCAATAAGAAGTTATCTCTAGTATTCCCTTGGAGGTGGCTAGCGGCGGCTTGTAGAGGATTCGAGGTTGATGGGTTCCATCTAAGTTTTTGTGATATTTTTAATCAACTTTAAGCATTTTTTAAACTTACATTTTTTTTTAATCCATAAAGTCATCTTATTTAAGTTTTTTTTGAATAAATATTAAAAATATTGTATGATTTTCATACTTGTAGATTTTTGGAGTTCACTACATACATGAGCCACTTATATGGAAGTGCATTGTGATATCAATATTTGTTTTTTTATCATTTAATCTCTTAAATTTTATATCTTATTTTTGTTGCCACATAACTTGCACAAGTTTATATAGTAATTAATTCTATAGCGCAAGCTGTTCTTTGGCATGGGATGAGTATTTTATATTGAATTTCTCACCATATAAATGACATAATGGACAATAATTCAAGTATCTTTGTTGTAAGAAATTTTGTTTAGAACTTTCTTCAATTATTTTGATCTTGTGTGTGACTTATACCCTTTAATACCCTTTCCATACTCTTACTTTCACACTTACCTTATCGCATGAATCTAAGGATATCCTAAAGAATTTTATTGCACCACACTCTTTTTTATTAAGGATTAGAAATTGAGTTACCCATATTAACAATGTGTACCACAATGGGGCAATCCCCTCACACTTGTAAGGAGATAGATATTTCAACAACACTTAATAGTTAATGGAGACTAAATTGTAAATTATATTAATAATGAGATAGACTTTATATTTATAAACATGAATATGGAGTATATCCCCATCTTAATGAGGATTGTTAATTTTAATTTAACTATTTTTTTTATAGTTGAAAGAAGCTTTTTGCATATTAAGATAAGATGTTTATTAGCTTACATTTGGTGTTTCATATGCTAAATATCAACATGGTGAATAAATATTCATCTTCATCACAATTAATATTCAAGTGGTTATTCTATGATCAGACTTAATAAATATCAAATTAATTTCACATATGTTGCATATTGGCATGCCCATTGATTGTGCTTGGATGTATTATCATTAAGTTTGTAAAACGTTTATCAAATTGTTATGTTAGTAGTATAGACTATAGAAGAGTCGATCAATTTTTCATTTTCATGCTAAGAAAATATAAAAATGAATAGTATCAATCGTATATGCTTGTGATTTTATAACATGCATTGTATATAATTGATAATGTCACAGATTATCTTTTTTTAGAAAGTATTCATAATAAAAATTTATTTGATAAGCCAAAACAAATTCTAAAAAACAAAGTCACTTTTTGTGTTGTCTTCAAAAATATATTTGAATCTAATTGTTATATTAACATACTAAGAGATTTGTTTGGTTCAAAATATTTTGAAGAAGATAGAAATAGGATTTGAGTGTTCTGAAATTGAAGAAATACTAGATGAAGAAGCTTTTAAATAGAATGCTCTAATTGTAAAAACTAATGTGCCTTTACAAAAAGATTGCAAGAGACATTAAAAATTATCAACATTTATATAATTGATGAACTAAAAGCTAAATTTAGCATGCCTAATAAAGGCCGTGCACTACAAGAAAGGCATTATTTTTGGACAATTTCGACAGTAACAGGGAAAATAATTGGCACTATTTCTTCTTATCGTGCGATGTGTACTTAACTAAAAAACAGACATCACAAAAATTAGCATCAGCAATGATCGACACAAAAAAATTGTGTTGCCTTTTTCGTCCAATCTTGTTAATATTATCCAATTGCAATGCCATTCATGCGGACATAAAGTTAACTGTCTAAATTACGTTTAGTCTTGCTGATGAAAACTTGTGTCAGACTGTACATCCAATTATTTTGTCGGTGACGTGAACTAATGTTATTATCTTCTGAAGATTTTTTGCGTCAGATTTTCTCGATGCAAAACGAACGCAAACCTATAGCAATTTAAATATATACATAAATCAATAAAAAAATTATATATATATATAAAAGAACAATTAGCTTTTTTGTATCTACACATAACAAATAGCATAAACATTTGCACATCACCAACATAACACATAACATATTTCACAAATACGTATCGAGAATAAAAATGAATAAAACTAACAAAGATTACACAAAATCTGCTAAAGTGCCCATCTAAAGAAAGTTATAAAATCTAAATAGAAAATATATATACAAATTATCATGTACAATTACTAAACAAGAAAAAAAAACATAAAATCGGGCTACTGGGCATTATAAGCGAACTCATTCTAATCCGCCCTCCTCTCCCTCCTCCTCCTCATCCATTGAACTGAGAGGTCATTTGACATGCTAATCTACAGCTTACTCGAGCATCACTACAATGGCATAAACTCTCTAATGATCTTCACGTAGCTCACAGACCTATTCACTCAAAATAGTGATACGTCTGGCAAGTTTGTCTTTCTCAGATAATGATGACCTCAGACTTTGAGCAGCTTGGGAGTGTTCGACCTCAAACACAATACCATTTGTTCTTAGGCCATTTGCCTCCTTTTCTTTTTCCCTGCATCCTGCCTCCACATTCCTTAGTAAGACTTCTCAAGGGTAGATTGACTGAAAATTTGACACAAACAATAACAATATCAATGGTGTTGTTGCAGAGTTTTTTTTTGCATCATATTTGCATTGAATAAATCGACTCAAAAGGTTTACGTAAAAGAATAAAAAAATATCATACCTAAAGTAGACAATAAATTTGACATAATAGACTTAAGAACCCATCTTGCGGCTTCCAATTCATTTTCTTCTTTGTGTGCCATTCCCCGTCCCCTCTCCTCCCTCGTGCCATCATCGGTCGTCATACCTTCCCCCACCACCTTCTCTGCCCTAGCCTATCGCCCCTTGTGAGTGAATCGGAAAATGTAACTTCACCCCATTTTTTAATTTTTAAAATTTTAATTTGTATTTAACATTTGAAGTTTAGGTGTTAGGAATGTATATGCATAAGATTTCAGTTGTATGCATGCAACATTTGATGTTTAGGTGTTAGGAACGTATATGCATAAGATTAGGGGTGTTGACATCATTTTTGGTGAGGTCTAATCTTCCTTTTATTACATAGGATCTTGCTATAGGACTTTCCCTTTAACTATTCTAGAGGACTAGTGAAGGGACCCACCCCTTTCATGATTTTAAACCACTTCTTAACTCTTCTTAGAGCCCCACATAGGTTGTTATAAACCTTAATCACTTGGAAGCTTAGATCCAACATGTGAAGACTCAAGGATGAGTTCTTATAGAATCATGAGGCCTTAGGGACACCATGTTGACCCTTGGTGGCTTGGGGCATTTGACTCAAGACACACACCTCACACACTCTTCCCTTTTGAAATTGATAGCACTGCTTGACAACTTTGGGAACTCACATGGGTGTTCATAAACCTCCGACACTTGGAAGGTTAAAACCAACATATGAAGGCTCTAAAATAAGTTCTTGTGGGACTATAAGGCTTTGAGGAGGCTCTTTATGCTTTGGACATTTACCTTGCACTGTAGTACCCTTTACCTCTCCAAACCATCCAACATTTCCTAACTTTTAATCCTAAATCTTGTTCAGACATCAAATCTAATTATCATGGACC